TACTATGAACTCCAAAAGTAAAGCCTTGGCTTGAAGAGGTTTAATTAGCTCTTCAGTACTCAGCTTTGCCAGGGCATTTGTCTGGGGTAGTATGTTACCTTTTAGCAGATCACTGCACTGTAGGAAAGATTCCTCTTGGAAAGATGAACCTTCCCTCCCATACTTCCCCCCATCTTTTTTCAACTCTACACTTAAAGCCTTGAGAGAACAAAAGGGAGATTGGGAACGGGCTTCCCAATGGATAAAGGCAGCCTAGAGTAAGCACGTTCTAAGTGAGTTTTTCCTCACCCTTTCCAATGTGCTAATCTGGCCAGTTCTCTCATCTCTTGTCTAGTGGGGGAGCAAATTCTGACCAGTTTACTTCTACCAAAACTGATTGCTGGTCCAACGACAAGAACTGTTTGTGGGGCATAAGATGTACTCATCAACATTTGCAACCAGCATTAACAGATTCCTTATGATTGAAATTCTAAGACCCAAGCATTTTCTGAGATTTAAGAAGTAATAGGAAGTGTCTTATTCCCTACTACAGAAGGAAAAAAGAAAATGAGTGACATCCATTTCATGAAAGTGAGGAGTAGCTTCACATTTAGAACCTGGGAAAAGCAACTTGTATGAAATTTAGTTGTGGTCCTTAGGTTTCCCATTAGATTCCTTCCTATTATTTCCTCAGACAAATTCCCATCAAATCCATAGTGCTGTAGAAATTGGACCTTTCCTGCTTTTCTTTCTGAGGAACATATTGACCTTGAAGAGGGTGAGGAAGATGTTCAAGTGGGGAGAAATGTTTGTAGTTAATAGAAATTTTCTTTTTACATTTGATGTAGAGAGGGATGGAAATGTTACAGACTAGGGTAAAATTCTCCAGACAACAACCAACTCGTCCATGCTGATCCTTGCCTAAGAGATACCTCCATTGGGCACATGATTATGTCAGGCTTTCCCTAACCCTGAATCGCTGAAGTCAATGGGTACTTTCATAGAATTTAAAGTCATAAACATCACTCCTGACTTCCTATGTAACACAAGCCAGAGAATTTCACCGAGTGCGTCTTGCAGTGGAAGGAATTATTTTTCTAATGATTTCTATGAGCCCAGGATCAGACCCCAAATGTCTAAATCCTGTTTAAGGAGTATGAAGGAAACATGCCTTTGACATTAAAAGCCAGTGTGTGTGTTTTGTGTTTATTAAACATTCTTATTTCTTTTGAGGGTCACGTGGTCTGGAAGTCATAGAATCATAGGACTGGAAGGGATAATGCCGTTTCAGATGGTTCAACCCTCGAAAGGTGATCTAGTCCAGTCCCCTGAACTTATGGCAGGACTAAGTATTATTTAGACCATCCCTGACAGGTGTTTGTCTAACCTGCTCTTAAAAATCTCCATGATGGAGATTCCACAACCTCCCTAGGCAATTTATTCCAGTGCTTAACCACCCTAACAGTTAAGAAGTTTTTACTAATATCCAACCTAAACATCCCTTGCTGCAATTTAAGCCCATTGCTTCTTGTCCTATCCTCAGAGGTTAAGAAGAACAATCTTTCTCCCTCCCTCCTTGTAACAATCTTTTATGTGCTTGAAAACTGTTATGTCCCCTTGGTCTTCTCTTTTCCAGACTAAACAAACCCAGTTTTTTCAAGCTTCCTTCATAGGTCATGTTTTCTAGACCTTTAATCATTTTTGTTGCTCTTCTCTAAACTTTCTCCAATTTGTCCACATCTTTCCTGAAATATAGCACCCAGAACTGGACACAATACTCCAGTTGAGGCCTAATCAGTGTGGAGTAGAGTGGAAGAATTACTTCTTGTGTCTTGCTTACAACACTCCTGCTAATAAATCCCAGAATGATGTTTGCTTTTTTTGCAACAGCGTTACACTGTCGACTCACATTTAGCTTGTGGTCCACTATGACCTCCAGATCCCTTTCCGCAGTACTCCTTCCTAGGCAGTCATTTCCCAATTTGTATGTGTGCAACTAATTGTTCCTTCCTAAGTGGAGTACTTTGCATTTGTCTTTATTTAATTTCATCCTATTTACTTCAGACCATTTCTCCAGTTTGTCCAGATCATTTTGAATTTTAATCCTAACCGCCAAAGCACTTGCAACCCCTCCCAGCTTGATATCGTCCACAAACTTTATAAGTGTACTTTCTATGCCATTATCTAAATCACTGATGAAGATATTGAAAAGAACCGCACCCAGAACTGATCCCTGCGGGGACCCATTCGTTATGTCCTTCCAGCATGACACTGAACCACTGATAACTACTCTCTGGGAATGGTTTTCCAACCAGTTATGCACCCACCTAATAATACCTCCATCTAGGTTGCATTTCCCTAGTTGTTTGTTGTTCCCTAGGTCATGCGAGACAGTATCAAAAGCTTTACTAAAGTCAAGATATACCACGTCTACCGCTTTCCTCCCCATCCACAAGGCTTGTTACCCTGTCAAAGTCATGGGCTTGTCTCTACTTCTGGTCACAGACAGATCTTAACAAGGGACTACAGAATTTTATCTCTTTATCTAAAGCCCCGATTGTAAGAAAAAAAGAGAGAACAACCTCACATAGATTGGAAGTTTGGAAGGATTTTCCTTTTTCTTTGCCACACATTTTGATCCTGTCACATCTGCTTTATAAATAACTGTAGTTTATGCAACTATAAAGTGTAGTGTCCAACTATGTTATTGTTTAATCACAAACAAAGCACAGTTTGATGTACTTGAAGTGAGACGTTCTAGTTCATTGTGTACCTCAAATCTACTCTTGACAATACATGGTGTTGTTAACAATCTGACAGATTCACAACCAAATGCATTTGTTTGTTAAACAATTTTTTTACATTAAGGTATTTAATTAGTGAAACAATCATTATCAATGTAACAAGCTGAAATACAGCAACTTGATACAAGACTGAGGTAACAAAATACTTTGCCAAAAACCTAAAGACTCCCACACAAGGGGTTAAAAGTTCAGTGGTTATTATGGGTGAGACAATTCACAAAAGTTATAGAAAGTCTGTACACAAATGGCATGCAGTGGGCTGCTGAAAAATACGGCCAAAAAATAGCGCAACAGTGTTCACAAGAAACAAACTAATATAGAAATTGGTTTACATTGTAATGCGACAAATGGATTGTATATTGAAAACTTCTGTCGATGCCTTAATTGAGTGCTAATTGGACAAACATGCATTTTGGCACTAAATTACTTTAAAATTACACACACTAATAAATTAATAATAAATATTGCCTGAAATATATCTAATATCTTCACAAGTCTGAAATTAGTCATCCTGAAAAATAGACTAAAAAGGCCTGTTTTTACTAAACAGCTAAAGTCTTACTTTGTGACTGATAACACTTACAAGATTTAGGATATCCTTTCATAGAGGTGATATTTTAATCAGTACCAATATGCAATGTCTATTATTTCAACAGGAGCTTTTAAAATCACATTAAAGGTGCCAGATACTGAGTCCCCAAAAAATCAGTAATTAGAATTCATACTTTTTGTATTTAACATTAATAAATTTATTTAAAAATGGATTAAGCTGATGCCATCCCTCTACTGTTCCATCATTCACATTCATTTTATGTTTTCAAATGCTACACAGCAATACCACAATTATTGTGATACTCTGCAAGAATTTTAAGATATTGCACAAGGCAAAACTACACAATTGCCATGTTCAGCTCTGTTTTACATAATACTATCTACTCTGCAATTGGTGATCAGCTCAGGCATTCATTTTACCAATTCTTTAAAAACGTTCAAAATGCAAATTACTGAAGGTCTCGAGTAACATTGTTTTGAGGGTTTTGTTATATATACACACACACACACACACTTACTTTCCATCCATGGCACTATGAGAGACTCCTGGATATCAGAGTCACTATTGTGTGTGTTCTCTCATTCATGCCACAAATACTTTAGAGCATATCCTTCTTTCACGTTTGAACTCCTATCTTTGTAGGGGTTTACTACACAGGTGAAGGGACCTGGAGATGTTTGGAACTTGTGTGTCATAGAATCATAGAATATCAGGGTTGGAAGGGACCTCAGGAGGTCATCTACTCCAATCCCCTGCTCAAAGCTGGACCAACCCCAGCTAAATCATCCCAGCCAGGGCTTTGTCAAGCCGGGCTTTAAAAACCTCTAAGGATGGAGACTCCACCACCTCCCTAGATAACCCATTCCAGTACTTCACCACCCTCCTAGTGAAACAGTGTTTCCTAATATCCAACCTAGACCTCCCCCACTGCAACTTGAGACCATTGCTTCTTGTTCTGTCATCTGCCACTATTGAGAACAGCCGAGCACCATCCTCTTTGAAACCCCCCTTCAGGTAGTTGAAGGCTGCTATCAAATCCCTCCTTCACTGCCAACTTCTAAAGGGCTTTCTTTGAGAAAGATGATGTTTTCTAAGGATGAAAAACCTCCCTGCCCTGAATGGAATAACACCTAAAATGTTCAACAAGGCTTTGAATTCTAGAAGCCCTCAAGATCTAAACAGGTTCCAGCTTTTGCCATTTCTAGCCTATCAGTTAACTGTGAGTGTCACCTTGGTCCACAGTCTCAGTAGCCACAACATCCATTACTTAATTTGAATTATAAGCACGGTGGAAAAAAATGAAGTGACAATTAGCTGTTTCTCCCCTTTCGCATTACATCTAAAAATGGCTTTAGACATCTCCTTAGCCTCCTAATATGGATGTCAGGTCAATGACTGTTACAATTTTAAATTAATTTTATATTTAACAATGACCAAATTGTTCTCTTATTAATGGGGTAACTGAGCATTTGCAGATTGTTTTGCTGCAAGGATTTCAATAGGATTTGTGGAACAAGATCCCTGCACAGGGGAATCACCCACATCCCACTAGAGCAGAACAAGATAGATGTAGTTGTTATGGTCTCACCTGGGCATGATTAGTGTATAAAAGCACTATATAAGTACGTTTCAGAGCTTTTGCATAACCATTGAAATTAGCTGTGTTAAAAATTCTGTTCTGACAAATGAGCGTTTTAAACTTCGATGCTTGAGGCCACAATTTACTTGTACCTATACTATCCTCATCCTCCTAAACACTCATTTGGTTGGCAGTCTGGAAAATACAAGTACACTGTTAAATGTTGGCAATGCATTTATTAGTCCCTCCTATTTTTAAAATTGTTACAAGACCCTTTATAAATCTTTGCCAGCCAATGCCCATGATGGCAAAATGCATACTTATTTAAGAGAACAGTTTGGTTTCTTGATCTGTCACCTTCCAAATTTATTGTACCAGGTGGGCCACTTTACATTCTAACCAGTAGTCCTGGAAGTTCCAAAAACCTTTATGATCCATTGGCAAAGTGGGAATTCAGTATGCTTGAATACATGTTATGTATGTGGAGGAAGTGTTGTCTTTAAATACAATTGAAAAAGTAACAGCATTGTATGCGGCATTGCATTCTAGCTCTGGCTTAAACACAGAAATCCAAGGACATTTTAGCTACAGGCACCACTCCAGCAGCTCTATTTTATAAGAATTCTGCATAAGGGGATGGCAAGTTAGATCTTCAGCCTTTACCCCTAGCATTTGAGGGTTTAGGTCAGACATATAACTTTACAATAATGCCGTTTCAGATGGTTCAACCCTCTGGATGCTGCAGATAGATTAGATATGTGTACAGACACACACTACATGTACATGCACCTATGAATTAATTTGAATGGCAGTCTAGAGAATACCTGCATCCTCAGAAATAGTCTAAATGTATAACTCACCTCTCACCACAACCATCCATGCATCTCTCTGTCTGGGAGTATAATTCAGAAGATTTCATTTTCAAATAGTTGGGCAACAGTAACATGCTGACGACAGAATTTCACCAGCATCATCATTTTAAAAATCCTGTGTCAGATTTAACTATTGAAAATTCCATTCTTGGATATACAGATGCTGTTATCAGGTAACTACTTCAACTAATTTTTGGATTGCTAAAAAGGCAAAAAGATATTTTTTGGCCACTCCTCTATCCCACTGAAGATCTCTTGAACCATCAAAGAAGTCTGATGTCAAATCTGTGTGAATTCTGATACTTGCCCTGTCTCTCCCTACAGGAATCAGTAGGAACTATTTTTCTTGTCACATACCAAGTTTCATTCTCAGGATTGTGACACAGACAGTTAAAAATCATTTTTATAGTCAACAGAAATTCAGCATTACAAGTAAGGTATTTTTGTAAGATAAATTAAAAAAAAAAATCTGCTGCAAAATCAAGATTATGTGAGATCAGCAGAATATCCCAATGACTGGGCACTTGTTTTGATGTAGGACTCTGTTCATCCAAAATTATTTCTGGTCTTTCATGGTCTGCAAGCCTGTGGTCGAATCACAGCACTCTCCCACCTAGCTCACCATTTTGGCCCATTCTTGGGGAGCTGCAGAGTGAGGGTTTTTAATGCCATGACCAATGCATCTGAAAGCCTAGCTGAAAGTGAGGTGGGAGCTTCATGCAATGATTCATCCTTGATGGATGAAAGCCTGAACACTGACCAGCAGAGGGATGTGACTAAAATGTGAAGAATTCTGAAATCAAGGTGAGAATAGCAGAAAGCTCTGACCAGCAGGTAGTGCTAAGGCACACCTGGGAAAAGAGAACCAGGAGGTTTCTCCTGGCAAGAAGGGTCTCTTACATTCGGTTCATTTCCTCTTTCCAGGATACTGGGTTGGTGGCTCCTGGTATACCAATCAGTCCTGCCTAGATCTCACCTCCATCATGATTTCAGAGGAACAGAGGCCTTCATGATAGAAGTACTAGTGGTGTTATTCTGTCTACCAGGTGATGTGTGTGCACATGCAGGTGCTGAGTGGGATTGGATCATCCACATGAGAGTGGAAAGTTCAGCCATTCTGAGGAGTCAGGAGGTGGCTGGGAAGATCCAAATACCTCCATCCATGGAGCTAGGGATTTTAGATGAATAGCACCCATTGTGAAGGGGAAAATAATAAGGCCAATTTATCCTTAGGAGTAAGAAAACCCAAGAAAACCTGTAACACAAAGTGAATTTAAATAGCAATGGACCCTTCACTCGTCCTTTAAATTATATTTAAAAGCACCACATTCAAGTGAAAGAAATACTAAATTAAACTATTTATCTTGTGCCAAAATACACATTTCCCAAATAGCTCAAATGTGAACTGCAGAATTGTCCAGAGATTTGATACAAAATCTGAGGCAACCACATTGCCAAGCAACTCAGTGCACTTAGGTTATAAAAATGTTGTTCCACAATTTTCTATTCTAATTGACACTTTGCAGCAAGTTAACACTGTCAATCATTTTGTGCATTAGAAAGAATTGAAAACCCAACATGGGCTAAATGTTCTTCAGTCACATAAAGCAGCTTGACAATAAAAAGAACAGTTTAAAAAAGAATAGGCAGAAGATGTGATGCACGGTTTGTGGTCCAACATTAGTCCAGGGCAGTTTGTGACCACAAAGTTAAAGTCAAGGTTTCCAGGATCCTGCATCAGTCAGGACGCATCTTCAGTCTGTCTAAATTGTCTACTTATGTTCAGTGCATGAGACTATATCTGGTCCTAAGGACAACATTCACTTTCTGCTTTTAAAAGCTGTGTCAAAATCACTTTCAAGTTACATAGAAAAGTGCTGAAGTAATCTCGTCTGGGGCAGCTGGCTCACGTTAGGGAGCTCCTTCTCCTAAGGGAAAGATATTCCCATCCTACAGTTTGGCACTTGAAGTCACACCACATACTGATGCAAGTTATTCGAATGACATAAGGTTAGCAGGTACCTGGAAGAGAATGTAAATTAGTCAGCAATGTAAAGTTCCTGTGGCAAGGGGAAACTGAAGTGTCAACCCATAGTATTATTATTTCCATTTATTGCCAAGTGCCAGCAATGCAATCAGTCCCTTAAACAGGCTCTGCATGAGGCTGACTCTGCAAGCTAGTAGCAGGACATTGTACCATAACTTCGGAGAGAAAAACATGACATAGTAAGGGGCACTGAGACTTATGGCTAGAGCTGCACAAATTCATCATTACCAGATTTTTTGTGGGTATCCTAGAATTTGAAATCTTGCCTTTCACATGTGTTGCAAAACTTTGGTCAACATGCAAAAAGGGTTACTATAAATATGCCCTGATGAGCTTGTCTGTGTATCCTTGAGGTGCCCATACCGGCTAGAAAGCGGCATCCTCTATGTAGGGTTTTCCTGGAATGTAAGGGAGAAACTGGTTGGAAAAGACATTTTCATGGCCTTACCTGAGGCCTGTTGCTTTTGCATGCATCATCCAAATGCTTGTGCCACAGTATTGCATGAAACCTTGACCCAGACTGAAACTTGTAAATATTGCCTACAAAATTAAAAAAAAAAAAATCAGGATTCCTCAGGTTTTGACAAACAGACACTTGGCTTTGCTACATTATAATCGTTTAGTGTAGAAGCCAAAAGTGTAACATAAATGGGAAAATTAATTTGGTCTTCAAATACCCAAACTGCTCCTACCACACACAGCAGTCCCTGGCAGGGAGGATGGGCTATGAGGAATATGTGCCCAGCACCCCCCAGGTAGGAGGTGGAAGATAGTATGCATATTCAATAGACCTGAGAGGAGCACATGGCAGTAAAAATAAACTGTCATAGAAACAAAGACAGTAAGACCAATCTGGGCATCCACTCCAACCTCCTTCGTTTTATACTTTGTTTCATTCCTACTAGCGTTTATATACCTCACCCCTGAATCATTTTCATGGATGCACTATTGTTTGCAAATTTAGCTTTTCCAGTGTCCACTTGTTGGTCTCTTTCATTCCTCAGGTTAGCATTGTCCTTCCCTGAATTTTCTCTTTAAGTCAGACTTATTTCATTCATTGTATTCTACAGGAGAGAGATGCAGCATGTGCAGCTCATGTTCATCACTACCTCTCATTGAAATAAAGAAAGACGTGAAATGTTAGGAGAACTTCAAAGTTTTCTGTAGAGACTCCCATGATGCACATTGATGCTAGGAACTTTTTGAACATTTGAAGTATCTGCTGAGTGATGATGGTTAAAAATCTAAGTAAATGGTTTTATAAATACTTCAATGTTTGGAGAAGCCTCATAAATCAGCGCTTACAGTGAAGCTGACTATCTAGGGATTACAGAAGTCATATTTGAAGGACATAGTGGCTTTGAGAAAGCCATTTGGAACAAAAAAAACCCCATAGGGTACATCTACACTGGAATAAAAGATATGCAGCATGTCCCGGGATGGCCCAGGTCAGCTGACAGGGCCTCTGGCTGCAGGGCTAAAACTTGCTGTGTAGATGTTCAGATTTGGGCTGGACCCTTGGCTCTGGGACCCTCCAAGCCTGAGCCCCAACGTCTACACTGCAATTCAACAGCCCCATAGCCATCGGTGGTGGGTGGAGCCCCCCTTCGGGGAGGCTAGCCCTAGCCCTGCCCCTTCCACCCCCACCCCCCATGGCTGGAGCCCCAAGACCATCCCCCCTCAGCCAGAGGAGCCCCAAGACCACCCCCCTGTGGTGGGAGGAGCCCTGAGACACTCCCACCCGGAGGAGCCCCGAAACCCCCCCTCAGCTGGAGGAACCCTGAGCCAGCCGAAGCCCTGAGCCCCTCCCTACACTGGTGGCTGGAGCTCCGAGACCCCCCCTCAGCTGGAGGAGCCCCGAGTCGGCCAAAGCCCCAATCCGCTTTCCCCACCTGCCTGGAGGAGCCCCAGCTGGCTGAAGTCTTGAGCTCAGCTGCAGCCACACCGCATCTCCCCTCCCCAGACCCCAAGGCACCAGGAGAAAAGCATGCGTCTCTCTTCTCTGGAAGAAGCTTTTACTATGCCCCATGCAGGTTCCTGGGCGACTGAGGAGGCAGTAGCACATACTGCCTCCTCAGCTGCCCTGGAACCTGCAGGGGCATAATAAATCAAAAACTTCCCCCCAAAACCCTGCAATTGGGGGTCTGGCGCTGCCCATGCCCATAGCCTGAGCCCTGCAAGCCTGAGTCAGCTAACATGGGCCAGCTGCAGGTGCTTAACTGCAGTGTAGACATACCTATAGAGACTAGGGAATGCAAGTGACCTCACACTAATACCAAGAGTTCCTGCAAAACTCACAAAATGCACCCTCCCCCAATCATTTGGCAAGATGCAAACATCGGCTTTTTGCAGATGCATGCATCTCCCACTGTGCCCTATTTTGAAAATCTGGTTCCTTAACTGAGCATGTGATATTGCAAATAATGTAAACTTAACATATTAAATGCTATTACCCCATTCCCCGAGTATAATGTAGCATCTACCTTTGTCAGGGTTATTTAGCTGAAAAATATCCGGATGTTCAGGATCATCAGGCAGTGCCACCATCCAGCCCACAACAGAGACTTTTTTACCAGCAGTAGATTTATACTAGAGAGACAGACAGATCAGTTACAATTAGCAGTAGCATGATTATACACTGGGTTGACTTCTAACCATGAAAACAGAGCAGACAAATGTGCTAGCTGGGAGTGACCATATTCACTTTTCGAATGCACATTGCCAGTCCTGCTCATGAGGATGATACGTCTAAAGAATGGTTTGTTTTCTAGAACAATTTAATATACTTTGCTTACATGTTTTCTTTCTGTGCCTCTTAATGACTTTGCTCCAAAGTAGAGAAGAGTTGATCCCGAAAGTGTAACCCAATATCTAGTCCATGAGGAGAGCTGAATAAGAAAGAAGAAAATTGGTAAAAATATCAGTGTATTAATTTCAGATACTCTGAAAATGAATTAACAACTAAGTATTAGAATTAGCTGTTTAAAGTGAGGAAGCTAATAGGAGGAGGGAGCTGGGGCCAGATTCTCAGCTGGTGTAAATCAATATAGCTCCCTAGGCTCTGGCTGCTGTCTATGAGAATGCAAGATACATCAAAGAAAATCCACATTATCCTAATGTCTCCTCTAGAAATCTCAGGGCTGTTCATTTCAGTGCAGAGCATTGTACTGCCCTCTGCTGGGCATATCTTATACCTGCCTCTGATGTTTGGTCAGCATAATTGATTAGCCAAAAATTCTGAAAAATTACTTATAATCAAAAAGTCAGAAAAAATTTGTTTCAGGTCGAAAGAAATGTTTTGGTTTGATTTTAGGCATTTTTATCTGTTTTTTAAGTAAAAACAAAGGAAATGAAGACCTAGATTCACAAGAAAACCTGGGCACCGTTCACAAAACTGAGGAGGAAGTTGTAATCTTACTCATTCTCTCCTGTTGAAACTGTTTCACTTTGTACAAATAATTAAATATTAATTGGCGCAAGGACTGGAATCTGGATGACACCCCCCATTCCCCAATGAGTGCCCTAATCACTAGGCTATAGAGTTACTCTCACTCACTGTATTTATACGAAGTGGAACAGATTCAACAAAAGAGATTGATATAAGAGCCCACCCCAGAATAGCCAATAGGCTGGTCCTGCTCTGGAGCAGGGACTTGAACCCTGGTCTCCCATATCCGAGGTGAGTTCCCTAATTACTGGGCAACTGGTATAAAGGATGCACCGCCAACCCCTCCTCTTTCTTCTCCACCACCCTTTTATGAATCTAGCCAAAAAAATCAAAACATCTTGTTCTGGGAGTGTTGAAATAAATCATTTGGACATTTTCAGTTTTTTTCTTCTATTCAAAAAATGTGCTGAAATTGACGCAAATTCACAAAATGTTTTGGTTGATCTGAATCTACTTTTTTTGGTTAAATTAAGTTTCAGCCATATAGTTTTGCACAGCTCTAATTACAAGGTTATTTCAACAGTTCTTCAAATCTCTTAAGACTAAACCATGAAGCTCCAAATAAAAAGTTGTAAGAGGATCAAAGGTAAACCATGGGATTTCCATTGCATCATTTTCTCCCATCCCAAAGAGGGCCTGAGACTGAGGCCAGTGGAATCCTGTGAATCTATGGCATAATGCTTGTGCAGAGAGCTGGTTCTCTGCAATACTACCTGAGCCTCCTGAAGAGCCATTCAGCCTTTGTGTCCTGCTTGCACCAGGACACAAAGCCCTCCCACTGATGTGAGGGGATCTGAATGTGAGGAGAGGGATCCCACAGAAATGGATGCTGACCAGCCTTTACAGAGGCTGATACTACATAGAGTTCCTCTTCTCATCCTCTGTGGTGTCCCTTACAAGTACATGGGGAAAGAACTGATGCAGAGCGGATGGTGGCAGATAACAGAACAAGGAGCAATGGTCTCAAGTTGCAGTGGGGGAGGTCTAGGTTGGATATTAGGAAACACTATTTCACTAGGAGGGTGGTGAAGCACTGGAATGCTTTACCTAGGGAGGTGGTGGAATCTCCTTCCTTGGAGGTTTTTAAGGCCCGGCTTGACAAAGCCCTGGCTGGGATGATTTAGTTGGGAATTGGTCCTGCTTTGAGCAGGGGGTTGGACTAGATGACCTCCTGAGGTCCCTTTCAACCCTGATATTCTATGATGCTGGGAGAGAAGGAAATATTTTGTGTCTTATGTTTTAATAGAAACTGATTTTGTAGCAAAACATTGTTCTGTTTCCTGGAACAGAATTAACTGCCTTGCCTTGTTTGGCATTGTACTGCAATCTGAAGCTAACAATGCAAACAATAATAGCCATTATCAAATTAAGATCACAGTAAAGGTCCAACTTACTGTAGGCTTTCTGCCTTCCTTTAGTAATGTCTTCCTTCTTAAAGGCCCTTCCATGGTAATGACTCCTGTTGAACTCCCTAACGTGCAGCTCCAGGCCCCTGTTGGGCTGAAGCAACAAACACTATCACATTTAGGTGCACAGACAAACAGGAACAAATAATGCTCTTAATAAAATTTATTCTTTATAGAAGTTTTCCATGCAGTGGTTGCTATTGCATATATAGAATCATCGAAACTTGGCTCTGTAGCATGTATGTTTCAGATACCTAAACAAAATAACCAGGTTATCTGAAAAATTCTAATAGATTTCAGGAAACAGGAGAAATCTAGTGCTACATGTTATACTGAGTTATGCTTGATTTACATAGTGGTAAGCCTAGAAATAATGACCTTTCATCCAGAAAACAGGACCCATGGTAGTTCTCTTACTGTGCATAGTTTCTAATTACATACATATGCAACCTATATATTTTTATATGACAGAAAGTGAAGAATAAATTATCCAACTGAAACTACAGGAGGAATATCTGATGGAAATAATGTATTTTCATAAATCAGAATTAAATCAGGCCACCAGGACATGCCCTCACTCTTGCAGAATGTACCAGGGCATCTTTAAGAACCCAAATAGCTAGTGCCTCTGTTTTAAGAAAAAATATATTGGCCACTTCAAAAGTATTTTACCATAGGTGTAAAGCAGCAATGGTATCTGTGAACATTCAAAATAGATTAATGACATGTTTGAAACTGTTTGAATTAAAAAAGCCAAACTGTATAGGAATAAGCATGTTAAAAATCTTTCTGCAGATGATTTGTCACTGGAAAATTTGACCACACTACATGTACAGTTCTACTCTGTGTAACTATTAAGCAAACTGAAAAACCAGTGACCACTAAGATACACACTGCTGCCTTCTCCACATTGCAATCAATTGCCATTTATAATTAATGTTTGAATATGTTTATCACTTATTATTACATAATGTATTGACAGAGTTCTTGGTGCTTCAAAAAATAGTGAAAGACACTGTTCCCCCAAAGCTTACAGTTTATGATGGATTTGTATGTAGATTACACACAATTTATATATCTGCAGTCCATACCCAGATTTGCCAGTAACAACTACAAGATGATTTTTAACCTGAGACAGAAGATTTTGCTTTGTGATACCCCCATAACAGGCAAATCATATGAATTTTCTCATCTATTTAAAAAAAGTTTTATTTTGTCATTATTAACATAAATAAACTTTCCATACAAGTATTAACAACTCCTATTCATAACCTGTATTTGCTACCTTTAAAAGTCCCATCTGTGTTTAGTAACTTATTATTGATGTATTTATTTTGTTCAGATTCCAAAAATGGTCATACATAATATAAAATCTCCTTGAGCCTGACATAAGGCTGTCCATCATTTTTTTAATTGAAAGGATTTCCCATAATTTATTTCTCTTTGCCACTAATGATGGGGTATCTATCTTTTTCCAAAAATGAGCTATTACACAGCTGGATGCTAGCAGTAATTGTGTTATCAAGGAACCCTACTCCAAGTTAGTAACCTCTTTTAAAATGTTACCTAATAGACTCACTATGGGTTTTGTGGGTGGCCTCACTTTAGTTACCTTGAAAATTCTATTTATTTTCTCCAAAAATACTATTATCTTAGGGCATTCACAGCATATATGCAGAAAGGTCCTTATTTCTCTCCATCCTCTCCATTATTTATATATTACTTCACTTAAATGGTATGAGGTACCACCGATAACGTATTTTGTAGTAATCTTCCTAATGGTTACCCAAATAGATGAGATTTTGGCCTTCCTCCATATATTTTTCCCATTGCCCCAAAGTGACATCTGTTTTTAGATTATTTTCCTATTTTTCCCATAAAGGTTATCTTATCTTTTAGATCCATCACTAAATTGTTATATCATGAAAAAAGGATCAAGCCCTTTGAGGTGGCCTTTACCATAATTAATATTTCTAGCCTTGTTAATGGTCACCTGCAACTTGGGCTTCCTACATGGGATTTGATATAATGCTTTAGTGGCAAGTAAACCAACATCGGTATATTAATAATCCCCATTAGTTCTTTGATGGTATTAATTTCCATAACTTTATCATTACAGAATACTGGCTGTTACTTGTATACCCTTTTTCCTTCCATATATTATATGTGTTGGATTAGATAACCTTAGTTGAAATTCTGGATCATTTCTGACGGATGGAAGTGGAAGGAAAAGGGGCTCTCTCTTATCTTTATCAAATTATATCCATGGAGTGTCATTTTGATACCTGGATTGGTTCCATTTTGTGTTGGTCTAAATCCATTAGGTAAAATAAAAATAATCAACGCACTAAATTTATAATTAAAATCTTGTTCAATTTCCACACACAATTAGTGACTACCTGTGAAAAGTTTGGTTTAAGTGACTTGCCCAGCATCTCATAGGAATGCTATGGCAGAGGCAGGGATACAGTCCGGTTCTCCAGGGCAGTGTTCGCCTGCCTTAACCATGAGACAATCCTTTTTCCTGCAAACCCTGCCTCATTCACTACACCTTCCAACTGCTGCAACAAATGAGGGAGGAGGCCTATAGACAAAAGTCTCCTTTACTACACAATCCTGATTCATCCCAGAGCAGGTCCTAAACAAGCAGGGTTCCTGTGGAGAAAATACCATGTTATCATGTAATTAAAGACTATCTCATAATGCATATGCACAAATGACTGAATTAAGGTTGCACAAGCAACCTTAATTCCATCATCTCCTAACTTTTTATGTGCCTAACTTTGTGACCACAAAGATGTTCTTTTAACATAGGGGTGTGTGTGTGTGTGTGTGTGTGTGTAATTTCCTAGGTTTTTAAAAAAGCAAATGGAAAAAAACAGAAATTCCATCATATCGACACCACATAGTTCATCAGTGTAGTTGGAACATTTAGATCCACAACACAGACCAGATGTGAACAAGAGGGGGATGGGATGCTTTCCCAGTGTGTTTCACAGATATTTGCTGACAGAAAAAAGGTGAGGAATCTTGGTTCCAGTTCAGGTTCTGGAGGGGAATGCATTCTAGTGGCCACAGACTCTTCTGCCTGTTCCTTCCAAACTTGACCCCCTTCTGCCTCATCCCCTCCAACTTGTCCCTGCCCTAGTCCTGTTTCTTACCCACCCATGTCTCTTTGTTCCAGTCCTAGTCTCCACTCCTCAGGCTTCTCATCCGAGTCCCTTTGCCCAGCCAGTCCTAATCTTCTCCTCTAGGCTCACTGTCCAAGTCCCAGTCTCTTCTGTTGCCTCCACAGAACCAGTCCTAGTTCTCCACTGCTGGCTCCTCATCCAGTTGTCTTCCTGCTTCACTAATTCCCAGTCCTATCCTCTTTGTCCAATCTCAGACTCCTTCAAGCTCCTTGACCCAGCTTCCCTCTCTGGCTCAGTGTCCCAGTCTCTTTGTCTAACCAGTCCCTGTTTTTCCCCTGCATCTCAGCCCTGGTCAGAGCTATCCCCTGGTCTCGTTCTTCCTCACACTAGTTCAGGGGTGGGCAAACTAAGGCCCAGGGGCCGCATCTGGCCCTTGAGCTCCTGCTGGGGAGCGGGGTCCAGGGCTTGCCCCGCTCCACGAGTACCATGGCTTCTCGCGGCACCTGGAAGCAGCAACATGTCCCCCCTCTGGCTCCTACGTGTAGGGGCAGCCAGGGGGCTCTGCATGCTGCTCCTGCCCCAAGCACCACCCCAGCAGCTCCCATTGGCTGGGAACCACGGCCGATGGGAGCTGCAGGGGTGGCACCTGCGGACGGGGCAGCGCGCAGAGCCACCTGGCTGTGCCTCCGCGTAGGAGCCAGAGGGGGGGACATATTGCTGCTTCCAGGAGCTGCTTGAGGTAAGCGCCACCCGGAGCCTGCACCCCTGACCCTCTCCAGTGTCCCACACTCCTGCACCGCCCTCACCCCCCGCACCCGCAAGCCACACTGCAACCCCCAGCCCAAAGCCCCCTCCCACACCCTGAACTCTTCATTTCTGGCCCCATCCCAGAGCCCTCACCCCCTCCCGCACCCCAACTCCCAATTTCGTGAGCATTCATGGCCTGCCATACAATTTCCATACACAGATGTGGCCCTCGGGCCAAAAAGTTTGCCCACCCCTGCACTAGTTCCTAGTCTCAGTCTCTTTGTTCATCCAGTCCTAATCTCCCTCATTCCCCCAACTCCTCCAATCTTAGCATTTCCCCCCATCCAGCCAACTGGCTCACAGGTCCCCCTCCTTCCAGTTTTCCTTACCAGATACAAATCTCCTTTCCCGGCTCCCAGTCTCTTTGCTCTTGCCTGCTGGTCCCAGTCCCAGTCTCCTTCTCCCGCATGCCAGTCCCAGTCTCACCAGATTCCTTGTCCCAATCTACTCCTTTCCATCCCCCCCCAGTCTGGCTTTTGTCCCCTCTGTATTTAAAGCACTACTCAATGGACCATATTCTCCACCCCCAGGTGTTCGGAGGGCGGGAGGGGGATCAGGGCTGGGGCAGGGGCTTGGGGCACTGGAGTGGGTCAGCAGTGCAGGCTCCAGGCGGTGCTTACCTCAAGGAGCCTCCCGGAAGCAATGGCATGTCCCAACTCCAGCTCCTACGTGGAGGTGCGGCCAGGCAGCACTGCGCGCTGCCCTGTCTGCAGGTGCCACCCCTGCAGCTCCCATCAGCTGCGGTTCCTGGCCAATGGGAGCTGCAGGGGCGGCACTTGGGGTAGGGGCAGTGTGCAGAGCCCCCTGGCTGCCCGTACATGTAGGAGCCAGAGGGGGGACATGTTGCTGCTTCCAGGAGCCACGCAAAGTGGGGCAAGCCAAGGACCCCGCTCCCCGGCAGGAGCTCAAGGGCCAGATTAAAACATCTGAAGGGCCGGATGCGGCCCCTGGGCCTTAGTTTGCCACCCCTGAGGTAGAGTCTAGTTGCTGTTCTCATTTAACATCCTTTCCTCCTCTCTGACTTTAATTTCTATTATAAAGCTTCTAAGAATGTTTCACCAACTGAATGACTCAATGCTTATTTGGAAAAATTAAGCTGTCTTGTGTGGGACAAATAAACAAGTGTTCCAAGAAACACACATACATTAAGTGTATTTTCACAAGGAAATAAAATGTACCTGATAATGCCTCATAAAGGCAACTGAACAACGTGCATTATAGCATCAAAGAATCCAAGAAATCAGAAGTGAAACCCCCCAGCAGACAATCTAGTTCAGATCCTGGCCAATACAGGGAATGTATTTTCAAAGGCAGGAATTATTTAGGAGATATAAGTGGGTATAACTAGATGTAATGGAATAAAATAAGAAAAGGAAAATTTAGAATGCAAAGTCTTCTTGGCAACAGGACTGGCTTGACACCAGAACTCTCTCTTCTCTAGGTACTTATATGACAAAAAAAACCTGCCCCCCCCCCCATCACTGTAGTATCTGAGAGCCTCTGAAAGGAAGTGGGGGAAGCCCCCAATAAAGCAAGACTGGTCAAAGCACTCATATCATTGTAATGGAATGATAGAAAGAAATTATGAGAAGATGTACTGTGGTGAACAGTCCTTCCCTACTCCTCGGGGGATGGACTAGAAGTGATTTATTAGTTCTTTTATAGTTTTTTTTATACCTCTGACTCCTATGAATCTTTGAATTAGTCTGTGGTTTTCAGAAGCAGATACCTCAAACATACATGTACAAGCCCCAGCGTATTTTCCAAAAGCAGCTATATTAATAGTTGTCTCCACTGGTCCCTGTAATGGCAATCAGTGATAATTTCTGTCTGTATTTAAGCACTAAAACACTGTATGCCATTGGTTATGCCTTGGAGCAGTTAAGAGATGGTGATCCTGAGATCGCTTGGGGCATTTCTAAAACAGGTCATCACCACTTTCCTCATTTTGTATTTTAATCTTGAGCCACAGGATCAACACAATCCCCTCTGCTACCTTCCTGCAGTTACAGAGGGTTGTCAAAATTTTACTAGCCCAGCTCAGGTGGCTGTAGTCAGATTTACATATTATATGAATATTTCCATTTCCTGCTATCAGGGAACTTTTCAGCAAAACTTAGGGAGTTTCATGTTAAAACTTTGAATACAGATGAGGTTCACATGTAATGGATGATTCTCATGGCTACAACTTTAAGCAAATCTGTATTTTGTCTCTCCTTGGCCTATAAGTAGAGCATTTGGCTTCCTGAAAAGTCTAGGACTTGATCCTACTTCCATTGAAGTAATAAATTTCACCTTTTTGTTATTTCTATTATTTTACCTGTTTCTTCTGCAAGTAGATGCAGCTGTGTATTCCACTTTGGTGTGTGCACGCCCAGTGCACTGGAACTGGAGAAATTTGCTTAGCAATACCATAAAGGGGACAGGAATACAGTCTTACCTACCACATTGTATGATGCTTGTGAGGTATACAAGTGAATAAGATTTGTGGGAGGGTGTGTTGCATGCTGCTTTGCAGATGTTCCATATAGTTTACTGAAGGCCTAAGCTAACACCTTTTTGCTGTACAAAAATCAGTACAATGCACTATATTCTATCTGACTTAGACAATATGTGAAGAGTATTTCTAGTTTAATTCAGGAAATAAATTGTACAGAAGGACCAAGAAGCCATCCTTTTAACTTCCTTTGCATAGTTAATATATTTAAAAACTCAAATTAAGCAAGAAAACATCCAGCTTTCATGACAAACATGCTTATGCAATGTCATAGAAGCCCACACCAATCAGCTTCTGAAGCCTAGAAGCCAGATGTATTTATTGGTTGAATCTAAACATTCTTCTCTCCCCTGGCTAAGCACATACAGCTTATATTAGCTCAATGGGCGTTCTGTGCAGAAATGGAAGGAAAAAAGAGACCCAATGAGTTAGTTTGTTCACTCAGTGATACTTTTGGAGACAAGATGAATTTGGTTTACTTAAGGAAAATATAGAGTCTCAAATGAGAATTCATCAATGCATGCTGAGAGAAACAGACCCACCACCTAATTGTACCTGTAGACACAGCTTCGACTTCTGGGAGAATTCCGAATTGGTACCCGCCAGTTAGGCCCCAGCGTGGCATACAGCCGACCCCTGTTTGTAAATTTAAACATGAGTTCTTTTCTAATACCATAAATGCTGTGGTGAACATCCATTCAAAACATATAAGGAATAAAGTGAGAGAGACATATGATACAAATCTCTAAGTAAGACTACAAGGCATCTGTATTTACTCAGAAATGGAAAAGATTTAATTTTCACGTTTGTAATAAAAACAAGTATTTCCAACATCTGAAAGAAGTGCAAAATGTTTTTATGGAATATGAATCTTTGTGAATGACCAAACATAGGGAAAGATCCAGGTTGAGGTTGAATACTACACACACAGCTTGCATTTGCTGGTAAAGAATAATTCACAATCTATGGGTTTGTGAATCTGTTTTCCACAGCTCAGAATGTGATATTTCCTTTTCCTTGGACTTACTCTCCGCTTTTATCTCTAACAAGGAAGGATTATTCTGAGTGTTCATTTTGGGAATAGATTATTTAGGAATTTGACTTTTGGTTTCATATTCTTGCCATAATACGAAAATTGACATGAGAAATTCAGGAAACAAACAAAATAATAAAAAAACAGTTATAGAGACATTGCAAATAGAATAACAAATTAGGGTTTTTTGAAATGCCATTTTCTCCCCATTAGACACTGAATTTAGGATTTGCCCATAAATGCTATATAATAGGTTTCATTATTTCAATGATATACATATGATATGCTGATAACAGGCACAACACCAAAGCAGTTCCTATCGCAGGGACATTTTCCTAAGTGACTTCCAGGGCTCTACTAATTCTCCACCACAGCAGGCTTGCCCTCTTACAGGATTTCCCCCCCCCCGCATACCTTTCTGGAGCTGACCCTTTAAGTATGGCACAGCCAAGTAGCTGTAGTCCTGAAGTGGTGGTTTGGCAAGGAAAGTGGTTTCCCTATCTTCTGTTAACTATCTGATGTGTTTTCCCCAGAATTTTGTTTCTTATTGAGATAGAGATAGCACATCCTTAAGTCTATTACAGAGGAAAGGAATTAAGTGTATGCTCTATTTTTAATCTGTATTTAGGAAGCTTTAGTCCTATAAGGACTAACGTGATAAAGTATAGAAGTTCTAAACTTAGTCAGTGGGTGTTTGTGGCTATAATAAATGTTCTTTAATAGATCATGCACTGTATTATATGTGTGTAGCTAATGCATGCCCTGAAAAAAAAAACCCCACTACTGTGTCTGCCCCGACCCCACTTTTTAATCTGTGTTGGTACCAGTACAAGTTCAAAAGGGATATTCTAGTGTGAGTGTATAGAGATATTCTAGTGCACGATCTAGAGTATCAAGCTGATGATTCAACATGTTTAAGATTCAAAATAAACCAACATTTGGATTGTAAACCAGGTTTTCTCAGACATATGGATTCACCTTAGATTTATTTCCTCACAAAAGGGAGTCATGCTGCAAACAGAAGCACATGTAACTCTCCAGAAAATAATTCCCTCTGATGGCAAATAAGAGTAAATGTCCCTTTTCAATATAAAAATATACAGGTATAGATTTCATCAGTAGTTTACAGAAGAGTTCATGTACTAAGGCCCAAATTCCTCAGCATCTGTCTGCCATCTAGAGTCACAAGAACAATCTGATGTGGGAATCTAAGTGGGTGCTTTAAACATAGCTTATTATACTTCTGAAAACTGATGTGGTCTAATATTATACATATTTAGTTGCATTGGATTTATTGGAGCATTGTTTAGACATGGGGATTCAGGAAAATGTACACACTCTGGCATTATTTGGCCTGGCACATAAACAAATAGAATTTGGCCCTAGTCTCTTTTTATGTATGGTAAGGTTTATTGATATTACTATTTTTAAAGCTTTTAATCCAGCAAGTCCTGCAAACTATAGGGCAATCTCTCCATTGACCCCCAAAGATACGAGGACAAAGCAGATGCTCTGCTGCTCTTTTCTGAAACACTGTTTTATTCAGATAGTTCACATGAGGTGGAGTGGGAGGGTAGAAGAGGAAAAGAATAAAGTGCTTGCTGAAGGCAGAGATTCTGATTAATTAGTTTACACATTAGTAACACATACAGCCAGCATGAGTTCCATTTGTAACATTTCCCATCCTCATTACGATCATAAGAATGAGACCTCAGAATTGTAATGTGTGATGAAGCTTGTGAAAAGCCTTTTTATGGATTTACAATATTCAGATCATTCAATGTACTGTATTTTGGTCAGTTGCCCAGTTTGCCTAAAGCTATAGATTCACAGACTTCAAGGTCAGAAGAGATCACTGTGACCATCTAGTTTTACCTCCCATATCACACAGGCTAGAGAATTTCACCAAATGGTTCCTGCATCAAGCCCAATTACTTCTCCTTGTGTTAGAGCATAGTGTTTTAAAAAAGATATTCAAACTTGATTTAAAGACTCCGGGTAATGGAGAAGCCCCCATATCCATTAACTAAATTGTTCCAACGGTTAATTACCCTCACAGGATCAAAAATTTGCACTTTTTTTTAGTTTGAATTTGCCTAGCTTCACCTTCCAGCCATTGGATCTCCTTCTGCTTTTCTCTGCTAAATTAAAGATCCTTCAACAGTATGGTCCACACAAACCTAAGTTTGATAACAAGGTAGTAATCAAATTACAATTATACATTCAGATTCTGCCACTGATGTTGAGTAACAGTTTTGTATTTTGAATAGTCTAAATCCAAAATATATATTTTTATGATGCATTTCTTCAAAACGTTTGTCATTTCTCTTCCTAAGAATTAGTTATCAATGATTTGAGAAGGATCTCTTGATTCAGAATTTTTCCTGTTACTGGAATATCCTTGTTTTGGCAATTGTAACAGTTTCTTAGCCCCTAAAAACAATTAGCTCCTTAGTGATTTTATGTGGTATTGAGTGAGGAAAAATGAAGACACTGAGTTATAACTCACCTTTCAAGCCCTGAAGACAGCTCCTCACTAAATTCTGAACTTTCACTACTTCCTAGAAAAGGAAGAATATAGAGAAGTGAAAAGTTCAAGGAAAATTAAAATTGCAAGGATGTGGAATCACTAGGAGAATTTTGACACAGTACTATGGAAACTGATAACTGAAGCTAGGTCTGAAAGTTCCAATCTTTAGAGATCAGGATAAAATCTGACTTCAGAAATAGATTGCATGCTCCTTCCTGTCACTATGTAGTTCCGATGAATGGGTGGTTGCGGCTGCTGATTTTAAATATTGTGACAAAGTTCCTCCTCTATCTTGGTGGGTCCTGCGCTTATTGGCGGATTTTCTTGCCTCAGAGATTCACCATGTGGGTTGGGGAACAGCCCAGAGACCTTCCCCTCTGGGAGAACCCACAGTCCAGGTCAATTGGGAGGTTTGGGGGGAACCTGGGCCCGCCCTCTACTCCGGGTTCCAGCCCAGGGCCCTGTGGACTGCAGCTGTCTATAGTGCCTCCTGTAACAGCTGCATGACAGCTACAATTCCCTGGGCTACTTCCCCATGGCCTCCTCCAAACACCTTCCTTATTCTCACCACAGGACCTTCCTCCTGGTGTCTGATAACGCTTGTGCTCCTCAGTCCTCCAGCAGCACACCCTCTCACTCTCAGCTCCTTGCGCCTCTTGCTCCCAGCTCCTCACACTCACACCACAAACTGAAGTGAGCTCCTTTTTAAAACCCAGGTGCCCTGATTAGTCTGCCTTAATTGATTCTAGCAGCTTCTTCTTAATTGGCTCCAGGTGTCCTAATTAGCCTGCCTGCCTTAACTGGTTCTAGCAGGTTCCCGATTACTCTAGTGCAGCCCCTGCTCTGGTCACTCAGGGAACAGAAAACTACTCATCCAGTGACCAGTATATTTGCCCTCTACCAGACTCCTGTACCCCACTGGTCTGGGTCTGTCACATATCCCTCCCCCCTGCTCAACGCCTAGGGGTTGGGCAGCTTGGGACACCAGACAGTGCACACGTGACAAGCCATCGGTGTTGCCATGACGGCTCCCTGCTCTGTGTTGCACACGGAACTGGAAAGGTTGGAGGGATAAGAACCATCTGGTCACCCTTGTGTTCTTCTCCTTGTTCCGCTGCATCCATTGAAGAGGGGCATGGTCGGTCACGAGGACAAATCTGCGCCTGAGCAGGTAGTAGCGCAATGTTTCCATGGCCCATTTTACAGCGAGGCATTCTCTCTCCACCAGTGCATATTTTTGTTCCCTTGGAAGCAGTTTCCGACTGAGGTATAGAATTGGGTGTTCCTCCTCCCCGACCATCTGTGATAGAACGGCCCCCAACCCTACTTCCGATGCATCTGTCTGCAGGATAAACTCCTTGGTGAAATCAGGGGCTATCAGTACGGGGTTACTGCAGAGGGCAGTCCGTAGGTCTGTGAATGCTTCCTCTGCTGCATCAGACCATCTCACCAGATCAGGTCCACGGGCTTTCCCTAGGTCTGTCAGGGGGCTTGCCCTTGTGGCAAAGTGGGGGATAAATCGTCGGTAATACCCCACCACACCTAGGAACGCCCGGACTTGTTTCTTGCGACTTGGTCGGGACCAATTTTGGATGGCCTCTAACTTGTTCACTTGGGGTTTCACCAGACCTTTTCCCACAATGTAGCCAAGATATTTGGCCTCTGTAAACCCTACAGCGCACTTGGCAGGGTTTGCTGTAAGGTCAGCTCGCCTGAAGGTATCAAGGACTGCCTCCACCTTCTCCAGGTGGGTTTCCCAGTCTGGGGTATGAATGACCACATCGTCCAAGTAGGCAGCAGCATAACTGTTATGCGGGTGTAATAGCTTGTCCATGAGGCGCTGGAAGGTAGCTGGGGCCCCATGTAGTCCAAAAGGGAGGACAGTATATTGAAAAAGACCCTCTGGTGTAGAGAACGCAGTCTTTTCCTTTGCGTCTTCTGCAAGGGGAATCTGCCAGTACCCCTTTGTCAAGTCTAGGGTAGTCAAGTACCGGGCATTACCCAGACGGTCCACTAGCTCTTCTATGCGAGGTATGGGGTACGCATCGAACTGGGATACTTCGTTTAGTCGCCAGAAGTCATTGCAAAATCTTGTGGTGCCATCAGGTTTGGGCACCAGCACGATCGGGCTGGCCCACTGACTGTGGGATTCTTCGATGATCCCCAACTCCAGCATTTTTTTTACTTCTGCTTTTATTTCCTCCCTTTTTGCCGCTGGCACCCGATAGGGCCTCATTGTTACTCTGGCCCCAGGGTTCGTGACGATGTGGTGATATGTCTCGGTTGTTCGACCCGGTTTTGTTGAGAACACATCTTGGTTCCGGAAGATCATCTCAGACACCTTATTCTTCTGGTCTGGTGTTAAATCGGGAGACACTCTCATCTGTTTGGAAGGCTTGTTTTCCTGGGTTAGGTCTTTTTGGACTGTTATGCATGCCTCTTGTGCATGCCAGGGTTTCAGAAGGTTAACGTGATAAATCTGTTCTTGTTTTCTGCGTCCTGGCTGCCGCACCTTGTAGGTTACTTCCCCCACGGGTTCAACCACCTCATAGGGCCCCTGCCATTGGGCCAGAAGCTTGCTTTCTGCCGTGGGTACCAACACCATAACCCGATCCCCTGGTTGGAACTGTCACACTTTTGCCTGGCGATTGTAATGGGTTCGCTGGGCCTCCTGTGCCTTCTCCAAATGTTCCCGTACAATAGGGGTAACCCGGGCTATCCGGTCTCGCATCTGCATTACATGCTCTATTATATTTCTCCCCTCATTGGGTTTCTCTTCCCAGATCTCTTTGGCGATATCTAGTATGCCACTGGGGTGACGCCCGTATAATCACTCGAAGGGGGAAAACCCAGTTGAGGCCTGTGGTACCTCCCGGATAGCGAACAAAAGGTAGGGTAGTAGGGTGTCCCAATCCTTCCCGTCCCAACTTACCACCTTCCTTATCATAGCCTTGAGGGTTCGGTTAAACCTTTCTACCAACCCATCAGTCTGCGGATGGTAGACCGAAGTTCTCAGGGTATGTATATGAAGCAGCGTACAGAGGTCCTTCATTAGCTTCGACATAAATGGGGTTCCTTGGTCAGTTAATATCTCCTTCGGTAGCCCCATTCGGGCAAAGATCCCCACCAGCTCTTTGGCTATAGTTTTAGAGGCCGTGTTCCGCAGGGGGACGGCTTCTGGGTAGCGAGTAGCATAGTCCAAAACAACAAGTATATATTGGTGGCCCCGAGCCGTCTTCTCCAGGGGTCCCACTAGGTCCATGGCTATTCGCTCGAAGGGGACCTCTATGATGGGAAGGGGTACTAAAGGTGCCCTCAAGTGGGGATGGGGACTGTGCAGCTGACACTCCGGGCAGGAGGCACAGTACCTCCGCACTTCTTCATGTACTCCGGGCCAGAAGAACCGTTGTAGGACTCGTGCCAGGGTCTTCTCTACCTCCAAATGCCCCCCAAAAAGATGACTATGAGCAAGACTTAACACAGCGTTCTGGTGTTTTTGAGGTACTAGGATCTGCTGTACCTTCTGCCCCTATACTGGGTTGCACCCGTACAAGAGATCCTTCTTCATTATGAAGTAGGGTCCTGGTCCCTGGGTTTTTCCTTCCACGGGGACCCCATCTATTTCAGTCACCTCCTTCCTAATGTTGTCATACCTTGGGTTTTCTGCCTGGTCCCGTCCAAAATTTCCTCTCCCAGGGCTAATCTGCCCAAGATCTAGGGGCCCAGTCTCTGTTGCCTCTACTGGTTCAGAAGCATTAGGGTGGGGGTCAGACTCAGGTGCTTCTCCCTCCTGCGTGGCCTCCTTTTCAGCTGCGCGGGTCCGCCTACCTACAAGAGCGACTCTCTGGCTTTGGGTCAGTATTCGGGTTCCCAAGGCCTTAGCTGCCCTTCTTTCCCTTTTTGTCTTTCTACCCTGTCTGGGAGTGGAGAACAAATCTGGGGATATTTCAGAGAAGATTGGGGGTTGACAGTCTGCTGTGGATGCCTCAACAATTTTAGGGTCCCCATCTTTCTCCAATCCCCCTACTTGGGAGTAAGTTTCCAAACCCTGGGAAGTCCCTCCCTATGAGCACCGGGTATGGGAGTGTAGGGACTACACCTGCTGCTACCTCAGTAGTGTTCCCTTGGATCTCGATTTTTACTGGGATGGTGGGGTAGTAACTAACTGTCCCATGGACACATGTTATCCCCGTACGTTTAGCCTGCAGCAGCTGACTACACTTCATGAGCTTCCCTGAGATAAGCGTGATAGCACTCCCCGAATCAACCAGTGCCGTGGTCCCTATCCCATTTAGTTTCACTGGTCTGGTATACATATGTGGGGTTAGTGAGACCCCCACAAGGTGGATTAGGGAGCATGGATCTGCCCAGTTCCCCAGGTTACACTGCATAGGCTCCTCAGCATTGGGACACTGTGCAGCTATGTGTCCCCACTCCCCGCAGGCATAACATCTGTATGGAGCCCTAGGCGTTCCCCGGTCTCTTGGTTTGGGCAGTCTAACATCACAATCCTCTTCTCCCTCAGTGCTCCGACTCTTTGTGGCCTCTGATGGGCCTTCAGCCTCTCTCTTTTTCCACCTGGGCCCTCCTGGTGGCCCAGTCACCCGAACTTTAGGGCTTGGTGCTGCTAGTTTAACCCGGGGTGCCTCTTCCTTAACTGGTCGGGTCAGCTCCCTCGCTGTCCTTCGCCTCTCTACCAGGGCGACAACCTCGTCATAGGTGGAGGGTTCGTTCTGGCTTACCCAGGCACGAAGGTCTGGTAGTAGTCCCCTCATGTATCTGTCGATGACCAGAACCGCTAGTATCTCTTCCGGACTCCGGGACTCTGTTTGCAACCACTTTCGTGCGAGAGATGGATGAGGTCATACAATTGGGACCGCGGGGTTTTGTCTTCCTGGTACCTCCAACCGTGATACTGCTGGGCCCGCACTGCTGTCGTTACCCCAGATCTGGCCAGGATCTCTGCTTTCAGCTGGGGGTAGTCTGCCGCACCCTCTTCAGGCAGATCATGGTAGGCCTTCTGGGCCTCCC